CTTTTCTTTTCACATACTTTTATTGATTTCAGAGAGGAAGGGGAGGAAGAGAGAGACAGAATCATCAATGATCAGAGAGTCATTGATCAGCTGCCTCCTGCATGCCCACTGCTGGGGACTGAGCGCACAACCTGGTGCATGTGCAGGAATTGAACCTTGATCTCCTGGATCATAGGTCAATGCTCAACAGCTGAGCCATTCCGGCTGGGCTCTTTTTCTTTATTTAAAATTTATCTTTATTGTTGAAAGTATTACAGATGTCCTCCTTTCTTTCCATTTTCTCCATTGTTTTCCTTACACTAGATGTATCCGCAAACATATCGCCATGAGATATGTCTAATATTTTGCTGCCTACATTTTCTTCTAGAATTTTTATGGTTTTACAACTTACATTTAAGTCTTTTATACATTTTGAGTTTATTCTTGTGTATGGTGTAAGTTGGTGGTCTAGTTTCAGTTTTCTGCATGTACCTGTCAAATTTTCCCAGCACCATATATGGAAGAGACTGTCTTTACTCCATTGTATGTTCTTGTCTCCTTTGTCAAATATTTGTTGAGCATATGGCTTGGGTAGATTTCTGGGTTCTCTGTTCTGTTCCACTGATCCGTATGCCTGTTCTTGTGCCAGTCCCAGGCTGTTTTGATTACAGAGGTTTTGTAGCATAGCTTGATATCTGGTATTGTGGTTCCCCCCAGCTTTGTTCTTCTTTCTCAAGATTGCCGAGGCTAGTTGGGGTCTTTTTGGTTCCATATGCTTTTGGAGTGTTTGTTCTAGATCTGTGAAATATGCCATTAGTATATTTGCATTGAATATATAGATTGCTTTAGGTAGTACAGACATTTTAATGATGTTAATTCTACCAATCCATGAACACAGTATATATTCTTCCACTTGTTTATATCTTCTTCTATCTCTTTTATCAACATCCTATAGTTTTCTGAGTATAAGCCTTTTACCTCCTCACTTAACTTTATTCCTAAGTATCTTCATTTTTTTTGTTGCAATAGTAAAAGGGATTCTTTTTTAAGTTTCTCTTTATGAGAGTCCATTATTGGTGTATAAAAATGCAATCAATTTCTGGGTGTTAATTTGTATCCTGCTACATTGCCAAATTCATTTATTAAATCTAGTAGTCATTTGGTGGACTCTTTAGGATTTTCTATGTACAATATCATGTCATGTGCGAATAATGACCACTTTACTTCCTCCTTTCCAATTTGAATGCCTTTTGTGTTTTCTTTTTGTCTGATGGCTGTGGCTGGGACTTCCAGTACTATGTTGATTAAGAGTGGTGAAAGTGGCATGCACTACATGATTCCTTCTGTAAACTCAAGTTGACTTAAGCGTCTGTGCCCAAGGCACTAGGACCCAGGGCTCCCTACCCCAGGAGACAGGCCCTCCAGGGCTGCTTGCAGGGGATAAGCCAGGCTATTTTGATCACTTCCTTCCTCCCTCTCAAGCTGCGGCCACCATCAGCTGCTTTACATAGGACTGCCACTCCAGCCTCAACCAGGACAGTTCAGGTCACAGAAAAGGAATTTCTCTGCAGGCCTGGAAGGTAAGTAGCCCTCCTTATTACCAGTACTGCCTCCTACACCAGGGCTCCTCCCAGGCGGTGGGGAGGTGGGCTGTCAAGTCTCACCTCTATGCCTCCTTTTGCTCTCCCTTCCAGAAGATGGGGTTGGGTGGGGCCATTCACTCTGACACACCTGCTCCTTGGCTAAGTCAAGATTCATTGGCTTATTCAATGAACAGTCTTTGGGAGCCTGCAATGAGCCAGGCTCTGGGGTGGGGAGGGGTGGGAGGTTGGGAAGAGCTTGTCTTAGAAAGGGGGAAAACAGTTGTGAAGGGATGGCAGGGAATCAGGCAGAAAACTGGGGCTCATGAGACCTGAGTTTGAGTCTGTTTTCTGACACAGACTACTGAGTGACCCCACACAAATCACTTTCTGTCTGTGGGCCATAATTCCCCCAACCTGGATGAATGGCTTTCCAGAGGGGGCCCCCTTTGGGTTCCCTTTCTTGCCCTCACCTTGTTGTGCTGTTTCCTACATTGAGTATCACATAAGAGTTGACTTTGCCGTGGCAAATATTTGAAATTGGTGGGATGAGAGGTGGTCTGTGAAAGCCACACAATCAGCCTAACCCCAGCCTTAGGCAGGGAGACTGGGAGCAGCCTTTCCCGACTCTAGGGGCCAAGCGCCAGGACTGTAAACCTTGGAGCAGAGACCTGCTCTCCCTACCTCCTAAAGTCCTGTCCTCTTCCAAAGATACCCTGCTTCCCCCCCACCTCAGCCACCCTCACTGTCTTGCCTCCTGAGTGTTCAGCGAGGGTCAGCCATGCCCAAGTTGGGCACAGTTCACTTCCTTCAGTCTTCACCGCTGCAATTTCATAGACAAGAAAGCTGAGGCCATAGANCGAGTGCTCAGCGAGGGTCAGCCATGCCCAAGTTGGGCACAGTTCACTTCCTTCAGTCTTCACCGCTGCAATTTCATAGACAAGAAAGCTGAGGCCATAGAAGGTAATTGTCGCTTGATCAAGGTCAGGTACCATTGTTCTCATGGTGCACACTGGTTCTTGGGATGGGGTGCAGGCTACTAGTCCCTCCCTTACCTCACAGTCACTCTCCCCACAGCCAGCCTGCACAATGCCTGCCTGGGGGACCCTGCTCCTGCTCTGGGCTACAGCAGAGGCCACCAAGGACTGCCCTGAACCTTGCACCTGCCAGGCCCTGGAAACCATGGGGCTGTGGGTGGACTGCAGGGGCCGAGGGCTCACATACCTGCCTACCCTGCCAGCCCACACCTGCAACCTCCTGGTGACCAATAACAGTCTTTGTTCCATGCCTACTGGCACCCTCGACCCCCTGGTCCAGCTGCAGACGTTTGATGTGACACAGAACCCCTGGCACTGTGACTGCAGTCTCACTTACCTGCACCTCTGGCTGGAGGACCACACACCCGAGGCCCTGCTGGATGTCCACTGTGCCAGCCCCAGCCTTGCCACCATCCTCCCACTGGGCCATCTCACAGGCTATGAGCTAGGCAACTGTGGCTGGCAGCTACAGACATCCTGGGACTACCCAGGGGTCTGGTGGGATGTGGCACTGGTTGTTGTGGCCACAGTGTTGTGGCTCTCCTGGCAGGTCTGCTGTGTACTGCCAGAGAGCCTGTGCTCCCAGGGTCACCCTCAGGCCCACCTGAGCCCCTCCCCAGACTCCATTAGCCCTGATCAGCCAGAACCACCAGTAACTCAAAATAAACTGGCTGCTCAGCCATTTCATTCAAACTCACAGATTTTCTTTTTCCCTCTCAGTACCTTCTGGAAACCTGGGTTCATTTTTTTATTACCAGATATTAATTGGTGCTTTTTTGTCCCCCAAGTTCCTAGTAAAATGCACTGTCCCACTTCCAACCAGCCAACCCCAGTTCCATAATTTGGAAATCCAGAGCCCTTCCCCAGTGCCTGCCAGGTCCCAGGTCACCAGTTCTCCTACACTCCCCTGTCTATAGTACCAGCTTTCCACAGGGACCATCCTAGGCAGCCCAGGCCAACTGCACATCACATTCCAAAAACAAAACAAAAACTTTCTCTCACAACTCAACAGTGAACAGACAGGAAGTACTGAAGAGGGCATGGTTATCTCTGCAACAGACATACACGAAAAGGCACTTCACCATTCCCAAATGGCCTTTGGCCACAATGTCTGGCCCTGAGGCCATCTGGGCTTACCTGGCCCATTGTTTGTCTTCTCCTGGACTAGCTTCTCTCTCCTTTACTTCCCCTCTACTACTCTTCTACACATCAAATTACTCCATTTTTTATGGAAACAACTCCCCTCCAAGTGCTCACATCAGACATCTGCAAACTATGGGGCCCCACTTCTACCCTTATTCAACAGATTCTTCAAACAAGACACATCTCTCCCTCAGAGGAATTCTGGCACCAACAGTTAAGTTAAACTTTTCTCCACTGTACGAGCTAACATTTAGCTAACATTTACTGGCCAAGCCAAATCCAAATATAATTACACCAAGGTCCCTCACTCAAGGAGTTCCCTGTGGTGGTCCTATGGCTCAGGAGGTGCCACTAGGAAAGCCAAGTGGGCACCGTGTGCCACTGAAGGGCACTGGTCCACAAAGGAGAGGCTGGAAGAGGACTCAAAACTCAGGAGGAGGGATAGACTGTTGGGAGTGGTGGAGACTGTGGCAAATCAGAGAGCCTGTGTTCCATCCGAAGAGGTCTAGCCAAATGCTGCCATGTGGAGATGTGGACCCAGCGGCCCCGTGTTCCATTCTGCTAGAGAGATTGGAACTCTAGATTTTTATGTGAAATCTCTGAATTATTCAACTGTTGGCAATTAAATAAAAAATGTAACTGATATATCAATAGGGCAAATATAACATATATTATCAACTAGCTAGAGTCCTTAGACTGAGAGTCTGTGATTTGTGCATTAGGAATCAGCTGTAACACTGCTGCCAAATGACAACAATGGTCAAAGCTGGCATCTGCTTACTGGGCACATGGCATGTGCAAGGCCCGATATGAAGCACCTCACAGTGGTCATCTTCCTGCACCCTGTAGAACCCTGAGAGGAAAATACTGCTCTCCCTGCAGGGCATGGAGGCGAACACAGGTCCAGGCCCCCACAGTCACTTCATAGGCATGATCCCAGACAGGTCCCCTTCCACATCTGAAAAGTGCTCCCTTCAAAACTTCCTGGGCCCCCTAGAACTCAGGCTCTTCTGCCTCCAAGTCGCCACATGAGATGTCCATAAATTCTGCCCCTTTTCCTTCCTGAGCCCGACGTGTGCAGCCACAGGTCTGGTGCANTTCCTTCCTGAGCCCGACGTGTGCAGCCACAGGCCTGGTGCAATGATGATTATAGGCCCTGATCCTAGGGATTGAATGGCTTGGTCCAGTGAGAACCTGTTAGGAGCCTGGGAAGCCCAGTGGCACCAGTGCAGCTGATGATTCCCCTGAGAGTGCAAGGAGTGAAGGGAACTTCAGTGGCCATGCAGGGCTTTCCCAAGGTAAACAGAGAATTTCCACAAGNGTGGCCATGCAGGGCTTTCCCAGGGTGGACAAAGAATTGCCACAAGAGCCTTAGGAAAACAGGGCACTGGGAGCATGGATTTACCATTTCCATTATCCCCTCATTCACCATTTTAGGCCAGCAAGGCTTTCACCACAGAACCACCCACTCCACAGTCACCAACTCCATCATCAATGCCTCTCACCGCCACCAGCAACCATCCCCTACCAGCCACCATTGTCCCATTTAGAACCACAGTCAGCCACAGAGCCAGCTCTCCATGGCGACTGACACAGTCTCTCCTCCCCACACAGCCATCAACACCACCCTTGGTACCCATCACGGCCTGCACACTAGCATCACATCTGCCACCTCCCCGTTCTCTCCATCACAGCTACAGACATTAGCCCCATGAGCTGACACTTCCCCACCACCATTCCCCCATTACTGCTGTTACCACTAGCACCAAACAGCCATGAACCTTATCGCCATTATANCTGCCATCAATCTATCCAAAGAGTCACCATAACATGATCCTCCTCACTACCACTTTCATGTGTATTTTCAAAACCCAGCTGCAAGTGAAAAGTTTATCGAGGTAATTTTTTCTAGCTGCTCTGACAACCAATACACCCTGCTTGCCCAAAGGGAGGTTTGGTCCCCCTGACACCTTGGTGTGATCAGCGGTTCACAAGGAGGCCTTCCACAGGACTCCTGCCTCCTACTCAGCCCATTCTCTCAGGCCTGCTCTCTCTAGAGCCTTCTGCTGGGCTCCTGACTTCTGGCCACTGGGTAAGCAGGGACAGCACAGACAAATGTCCACATGCTCAGGGCTAGGACTAGAAATGTACAGGTGACCCTCACAAGCAATCATTGTTTCAAACCCAGTCTCGGGCGCCACAACTGCAGGGGAGGCCGGGAAACATGGTCTTCCAGTGCGCCCAGTAACAGGCACCAGGTGGGCATGTAGCAATGGTCGGCCCCCGGGGGTCTATGCTAAGGTAATATGTGCCTCATCAGAAACAGGACATGCCATAGCAAGGGCATTTGTGAAGTAATGGGCACTCTTAGGGGTCACATGCTGAGTCATGTCCCTGAGACATAGCAGACCCAGTTCCTAACACTGTCCATCTCGTGTGTTTTGCACACACACTTACCCACACCTCCTGTGAGCAAAAATGAGTGCACACCCAGACACGCACACACACACAGTCTTCCAAGGACTCCATGCTGACCCAGACAGGATCCCCACGGGTCCCAACACTGGCAATGTCTCATTAAACTAGAAGAGAGCAAATTCTGTTTTGGGGCAAACATGCAGGGCAGCCCCTGTGTGTGCCTGAGGGCAAAGAGCAGGAGGCGGGCGGCTCTGTCCTGGCTCAGCTCCACCCAACTTGGGGACCAGTCTGGGGCCTGGGAACCTCCTAAGAACAGAGTCTAACTTGACAGACACCCCAGCCTCTGACTGTCAGTTTCCTAAATGGCCCTGGAGCTGGCATCCTCATTTTAAACCACTCTCCATAATAAGCAGTGATGACACCACTTCAGGCTTCGGGAAATATCTCACAACCTTGGGAAAGTTTTATTTTTTAGGTAGGTGTCTAATAAAGTGGGCAAAATAAAGAGACAGAGCTAAACTATAGTACTTTTTAATTACAAATTTTAAAAAGGTACAAACTCTACTGATTCTAGTGGCCACTGCTATCACTTTGATGTGGACTCTNTAAATTTTAAAACGGTACACCCTCTACTGATTCCAGTGGCCACTGCTATCACTTTGATGTGGACTCTTCTAGACATTTTCAAGCATTTATAAATATGTGTATGTACCACCAAAAATATGGTCATCTTATGGCAGTTTTCTACAGAAATCACACATTTATGTAATATTCTGAAGCTGGCTTTCTTTCCCATGGCCATGTAATTTAGAGATCCATCTGTCTATCTGAGCCACCTCTCAACCTCCCCCCTCCCTCTTTCTACCAGAGGATCAGCACAGTATTTCACAGCATCATGTCCTCCAGTTTATTTATCCTTTGTTGACAAAGATGTAATTGCTCCGATGTTCTCCGTTACCAACAGTACTGAAGGGAACAACCCGTGCACCTGTGTGAATATTTTGCTAGACCACTAGTTCTCAAAGTTGGTTCCAGGAACCCCCAGGGTCCCTGAAACTCTTTCGGGGGTCTACAAGTTTAAAACTATACTCATAGGACCGGGGGCAAGGTGGCTATGGCATAAAAGGAGGCTGTGTGCCCTTCTCCCAGCCACGGACTGGATTTCCAGCTAAAATCTGTGCGGTCAGCTTGAAAAAGAGAAGTGTAACTCATTGGACATATTTCGTCTAAGGAGCACTGAAGAAAGAACAGAGAAAGTGGAAAGAGAAGGGGAGTCTTGGAGAGGGGGAGCCCCCCGTCGTTGATGCTTGGCTGAGAGGCCCCAGTGATATGGGGTGCAAAGCTCCCTCCCCTTGGAAGTGTGGGGTCACATCCCCACGCAGGGCTCCCAAACCCCGAGCAGCAGAGACTAGAAGGAGGGCCCCGTGGCATCGGGAGAGGGACCCGGGGACCTGTCTGTCTGGGNAGGCATTGAAAGAGTGACCTGGGGACCTGTCTGTCTGGGCGGCCTGGTCCTTTCCTTCCCGGGAGGGAGCAGGCCGACTAAAGGCCGTCCCCGGGGAGAGGCTCGCCCTGGGTGCTGGCTGCTGGAAAAGCTGCGCTGCCGTGTTGGGGTCGGAAGAAAGAGGGGGGCTGACGGCTGCACCCAGAGGAACTCTGAGAGACCCTCTGCTTTCCCGAAAGGCAATGTGCAGAGCCCCAGATACCAACTAAACCGTGTTACCTGAGGAAGGTGGAGGGATTATCCCACCTCCAGTGCAGGACTGGAGCC